GGTGTCTGTGTTACATTAAATTCCAAAAGACAACAAGAATGCTCTACTAAAACTTGAGATTAAAAGATTGGGACTCTCGATGCAACAGCCGCTGAAGCCATCGCTCGTGACGAAAGGCTCCTGAAGGCACCTGCAAAAACGCAAGGCCCGAAACACATGCCGCCCACATATTCTTTGGGGGGAAATCCTTGAATCAAAACAAAGAACCTGCAAACTGGGAAATCGTTGTCGCAAAAGACTGACAATAAGGCCTTGAATCAGTTAAAATATAGAGTTAGTTTAATAATTATTGTAAATATAATTATAAAACAATGTAGGTGACAAAAGTAAATATTGGAGGAGATATTCTGAAAGTGAAAGTAATGTAAAAGAATATAGATATTTTAAAATGATTGGCTAATGAATAAAATTGTTTATAAAATATTTGTCTCTATTTGCCTACTCTAGGTACCTCAGGTAAATAGAATAATACAGTATTTTTCCTCTTGTGGATGGCTTATTTCACTTGGCATGATGTTCACAAGTTTCATCCATGTTTTAGCATGTATCAGGGTTTCATTCTTTTTATGGCTGAATTCCACAGTGTTTATATACCACATTTTGTTTACCCCTTCATCTGTTGATAGAAAATGAGTTGTTCACACTTTGTGATTATTGTGAATAATGTTAGAAACATTGGCTTATTGTTTGAAGTACAGTTTGAAAGCCATGATATTGTCCAAACCAACATTAATGTTTTCTTTTTTTTTTTCAGGTGGGAGAAGTTTTCGCAAAACACCAGCTCTTAGAGCCTATCAGCATTTATGACAAGATTCAAATACTCATTTCCTAAATAGAACTCAAAATTAATTCACATGCCTCAAACACATAAAATTATATGTAAGGTGCATCCTGACCCTTTTCTAAGAACAGAGGTAACAGACTTACCACCCTTAGATTGTGGGGCCTAATAACTTGTCAAATTAAATTAAATGGCAACAGTTTCATTGTTAGCAAGTTTTCATAATTTTAAAAGGAAAAAGGAACAAATGGCTTCTTATCTGTTGACTTTGCTACCTTAAATTATAAAAGTACTGTTTATATGAGTAACAAAGTACATAGCAGAATTAGGCAGGCATTACTTTCCTTTTAAGTAGTTCTATTAATTCTTTTTTTAAATCATTACGTATTGCTCTGCAGCAATAATTCAAATTCCAACCTGAAACTAAGAATGTGGCAACAATGCCAAGGTCAGCATCAGTTTGGCACTGAACACACTTAAGTTTTTCTTCATTGGTACCAGGCATAGTACATCAGAGAACATGTGAGCAGTCCAAGAAATTACCCGGAAATTGATACCACCTGCCATCATTTGAGACTCTAAGTGTAAAATCTCTGTTCTAACTATTTTACAAACAGTAAAGTGTTCCTAATAAAACAGAGAAAGCACACCCATGATTATCTGGGGCTGAACAATAAATGATTTCTCATGGTCAAAGCCAATTACCAAGCAAGAGAAAAGTCACTTTTTGAAGGAAAAAGTCCCAAGCAACTGTAAGTCCTCAGCAGTCCATGGGGAATTTGATGTTACTGCATAGTGTATGATTTTGAAGCGGGGTGGCAGGAGGGAATCAATGGAGCAACCTGGCTGGTGTGGCTCCATGGGTTGGGCACCAACCTGCCAACCAAAGGGACACCGGTTCAATTCCCAGTCAGGGCACAGGCCTGGGTTGCAGGCCAGGTCCCCAGTAAGGGGCGCGCAAGAGGCAACCACATATTGATGTTTCTCTCCCTCTCTTTCTCCCTCCTTTCCTCCTTCTCTAAAAAATAAAGAAATGAACATCTTTTTAAAAAAATCAACGTAAACCTAAATCTTCAAGTTCAGTCTTTTTTTTTTTTTTTTTTTTTTTTTAATAAACCAGGAAATGTAAAGCTCTGGCTCCTTCTTGACATTTCATCATAGTTGTTACTTTGGGCCATTTCACTGCAGAAATTATCAATAAATTCCAAGGGGGAGGAGGGTATCAACCAAGAAGCGAGGATAAGTTTATGTTTCTGACGTTCTCTTCTTCCCTTCTTCTCCCCAGCCACCCTCTTCTGATGGCTCCCACTGAGGACGACACACGGCCCTCACTACCGGAAGCAAGTTCTGGCCAGCTGGCTCCTTCTAAGTCCTTTCCACTCGTTTTGGTTTACTGTTCTCTCGGATGCCTCTCCTTTACCCTCCATTTCTTTTAGTTTTTCCTATGCTCTACGAGCAGGTTAGGCATAAAAAACTAGTCCTCAGAGCCATTTTTGACTTTTTTCCCTCTTTCGTCCCCCATAACTAAGGTCCACCACCCTATGCTGAACTGTCTGTCACATTCGCCATCTGTACCACCACCGGCCTCATCATCTCATGCCTGGTTTCACTACAAGGACGTCCACGTGGCTGGTTACCTTGTCTTCCCCCTACCGAGTCCGCCCTGCCCAACAGCCGGCTTCTGTGTGGTTTTCTTCTGGCAAAACGCACATGTCCCCAATCCAGACCCTCCTGAGGGGCTTTGGAGAATCTGCACTCACGGAGGAGTTTCCAGGCACACAGGAGGGGACCGAGGTCCAGGAGGGACGGGCCTCGGGGCACCCAGGTGCTAGTCTTACTGAGCTCATGGCTTTGGGCTAACTGGTGTCTCCAAGCCTCCATTTCCTCACCTGTAAAGTGAGAGTAAGAGTAGTGGCTGCCCCATAAGACTCTTTGAAGGATAAAATAAGACATTCGGTGTAAAGAAATGCTTAGCCCAGAGTCTTGCACGCGGTGCGGGGGTCACCGCTCATTCCCACGTTGCTTCCTCTCCCTGACAGTGTCCGACCCCACTTGTAACCCTGACCCCTTCCAGGGACGCTCCACCACGGACGTTCTTCGAAGTCACCTTGAAAAACCCTCCCTGAAGGCAGAACCCTCCGCCTTAGAGCCCTCAGGCTCCTGGACACCACACAGGCCAAGGCCCGCGCAAGCCTCGTCCTGGCTGCGGGAATCTGTCCGTTGGACTTGCTTTTAGTTTTTTTGTAATTGCTACCCTAGAGCGCCCCCTTTCCTGGCTTTAAAACCCTAATTCCCTGGTCCTGTTCTCACGCGGATCTGCTTGTTCTGGGGAAACACGTCCCAGGCGAGGAAGGAGCAGGCAGAGGAAGAGAATTGGGCGCAAAGCCCTCCTCCGGGCCCCCGTCCAGCTCGGGTTTTACCCGAGAGCAGGACAGCAGCCCGGAGCGGACCCGCGGGGGCAGGGACCGGAGGCCGCGGAGCAGAGGCGGGGCGCGGGCTGTGGGCGGGGCGCTGCTCTCTCGTGTCCTGGTCCTGTTTCCCGCGGCGGTGCCCGCGGGGTTGGGCAAGTGTCCTAGGGATTTCAGAAAACATCCTTATTTCAAAACGAGGAAGCTGAGGTTATAGAAACCACACCGGGTGGACCTGGAGGGTAAAGTTTCGACACCCAGAGCGCGAAACCTCTCCGCAGAGATTTCAACACAGCCGGCGTCCTTGGAGGTGGCCCGGGCCCTGTCCTCCTGTTTTGATTTTTTTGCTTATAGTTTAATGATTAGCAGGAAAAAATGCTGAAGAATTTAATCTCTTACCAACAATGTTTATGACTCCACTTCAAATATATATGATTGATTAAACTGAAGGAAGGTCTTAAGATCGGGGTTTTTGTTTAACCTCACCCGAAGACATGATTACTGATTCTAGAGAGACAGGAAGGGAGGGAGAGAAACATCGATCGGTTACTGCTCACGCGCCCCCAACTGGGGACTGAACAAGCAGCCCAGGCATGTCCCCTGACCGGGAATCAAACCTGCTACCTTTCTGTTCATAGGACGATGCTTCAACCAGCAGAGCCCCCCAGGCCGAGGCAATCTTGCGCTCTCCCGAGGGGTTATTTGGCCTGGTCACCTACCCTCTCAAGAGCCCAGACGTGCACGAGCACAAGGGTGGCCAGAGCCAATCGCAGCAACTCTTTGCTTTTTCCTCTCACGCTGGGCAAAGCCTGAGGGCTCCGCTTCCACGAACCACAGAGCCTTGAGGGCGCGGAGGTGGGTCTGAAGGAGCGGTGTCCTTGGCGGCCGCAGGAGAACGCGAGGCGAGCGGCTCAGGACCGAAGACACGTGGTTGGGCAACCTCTCTTTCCTCTGGGTGAGCGACTGAAATAATCAGGCCGTGCAAAGGGACTGGAAATTTAAGGGCATTACGTCCGGGTGCCCGACCACCGCAACCCTCCTGCGTGAGCGGAGAGAACCTCCAGCCGCGACGCACGCTGGGGGGCGCCTCCGCCAGCCTCGGCTGGGCGCTCGCGCCTCCGCGGCAACATCGAGCCCTCGCTTGCAGACCTCAGGGCTCGGGCTCCACTCCCAGAACCTCACGGGCAACCGCTGCTCCGCCCCATGAGCCCCGGGACGGCCAGGCGCACGCTGCCCCCCAGCACCCAGAAACACACCCCCTTGGGTGCTCAGGACCGACGACCGACATGCGCTTGCTTTGAACAGGGAGACCCAAGCCCACTGTGTTCTTTTTCATTTTCAAAATGCGTAGTTCAAACATACCGGTTCTGTGTTAAAAATTGTTTTTAAAAAAACCTCACGTCACCAAAAGATTAAAATAATCGTAGGCTCCGTCCATCGCTAACAGGAAGCATCCCCAGGCCTTTATCCGAGAGTCCCATGGAGGTCCGCTTGCCTCTCCCCGAAAGGCCCTACTCACGGCCGCGCAGGGTCACGCCGACGCCCCTGCGCCCAGAGGAGATGCGCGGAGCTCTGAGAAAGCTCAGGCAGCGACTCGGGATCCCAAACGACTCAACTTCCGGCGAGCCCGTCCTTAGCCCTGACAAACTTTGATACATTTTAAAAAATATATTTTATATAATAAAAACTGATTTTTGAATTACAGTGACTTTCAGGTCTTGACCAGCGACTGTGGCAGGCTCTCTGCAAACATTTACCTACAGGATGGGAGGTTTGTCCCGGACCCCCCGCGAGGCGTCCGCCATCCTCACCTGCCCTCGTAGCACACGGTGCACCTCCAGACGGGGCCACTGCTCGGGAAGACGCGGCACGCGGAGCACACGCGGTGGCTGCAGCCCTGGCACACGGCCCCGCGGTTCAGCAGCAGCCCGAGCCCGCGCTGGCAGCGGGCGCAGGACTTCTCGCTGTACTCCTGGCCCGCGCTCTTCGCGCCTTTCCACCGGAGGTGCTGCAGGTGCGTCTTCAGTTTCCTGCGGCCCAGAGAGTTCAGTAAGGGCTGACCGAGTGGAAGGACAGACGCCAGACACCCTCCTCCATGGCCAGGGCCCCAGCGGTCCCGCCAGGGCAAGACAGAAGGGGCTTTGCCATCCAACCCTCCTGCCCCCCGCGCCCCCCCCCCCCCCCCCCGTCCCTGCCGTGGGCAAACTAGAGGCTCGGAGGCTTTCTCAGCTGTGGGTGGAACCAAGAATCATGTGCCTCCGGGGTCGCCATGAGGATTAAAAGGCCCAAGGGCAAGAGGCCTGGCCCAGGGGAGTGAGCTACTAACTTGCTCCAGGTTCTTCCCTTGGTGCCCAAAGGGCACTAGAATGGTAAGAAAGAACGGGGTAAGGAGAGGGGGAAAAAACAGAAAATCATATTCACTCTCATGTGCAAGGCACGGAAAGATTCACACAGACGCAGCACACATGCCTGCTACATCATTGGTTACCCAATAAAATTAGGTCACTGGTGCTCTGCTCCGCTGTTTCTTAATGGGTGTCCCAGCCCCCTTCCCCCAGATAATAGCTCTGGTGCAAAGGGGCCCCAAAAGTTGTCAGTAGCCAGAATATTCTGAAATACCCTTTACCTCCTTTTAAAAAGAAGAAACCAATTCCAAGAAACAAGCTTACATCCAACTTTCAGGATTTGCCCCAGAATCGGTACCCTCAGGAACAAACCTTCCTGACCACAGTGTCCATGTTCTTTGTTGACATCCAAAATGATGTTGCTAAGTCACCAAAAGATCTTTAATTACCCAAGAAAATCCCACTCCGGTCTGCGTTCTCCCTTTCTCAGTGAAAGACAGTGTAAGCATGTTTAGAGGATCTGGGGACAACAGGTGAGGACAGATCCAGTTGACCAGCAAATTTCCCTCATTCTGAGTGTTTGGTTGTCCGAAGGTTTATTTTATACATGCATTTTTCTTGGCAGGTTCTGAAAGAGTTCTGCCCTTAAAAACAAACCAACCCCAAAAGCCTTCTCCCTTCTTTTTCTAGGCCTCACGTCCCCCATGAGCGTTGACAGACAAAGCAACAGCCGCTATTTAATCTCCTGAGTGTTTCAAGACAGGCCTTGGCAGCTAAGGGGGGACACTGTTTGGATACAGCCTAGCCCTGCTTTATTAAATGCTAACTGACGTCCAACTGCGGCTTAGAGACAGATGAGTGAAGTCGTTCCCTATTGACAAACCAGCCAGAACAGGCCCAGCAGGTTCCTGCCTTTTTCTCCCCTTTCCTGACAGGCAACTTGGAAGCCAAAGCCAGCAAAAAAAAAAAAAAGAGAGAGAGAGAGAGAAATAGATTCTGGCATATTTGCTGTTTCTAAGCTGCTTTCTTTGCCTTTCTTTGTGCCTCCAGGTATCACCAAAAATAATTTAGGAAAACCCCCGAACTGGAAGGCTTGCCCCAGGGTGGCGGGGGGCGGGGGGAGGGCCTGCCAGTGTCACTAGAGTTCTTCGTGCAAAGTAGGCAAATTTATCACAAAAAAAGTCACCATTTTAAGTGAAAAACAAAAGCAGCCTCCCAAGTCCCTTACGATCTGGGAGGCTGAGCAAGACTATAAAGGTAATCCCTGCCCACTGCCCATCCTGGGGACACCTAGCAGTGCAGAGGCTGAGTCACAAGCAAGGAGTCATTAGCCAAGTTCCAGTTCCTAGGAGCAGGCTCCTAGCAGAAAAAGCCCAGAGCCCAGCGGATCCTTCCACCCGAGGGCAGCATACCGTATCCTCTCCTCCTCGACTTTCTGAACCGCCCGGTCTCGGTACAGGACTGGGAGAATCACCTCCCATTCAGATTCCTGGAAGGAGCTCACGTTGACTTCCCGGGCCATTTCCCTCTCGTTTCTTAGACACAAGGTGACGTTCACTCCATGGCCACACGCCGGTCCTGTGGGTGAGCTCAGGGTCCCGCAGCAACTGCACGCTCTCAGAGGCACTCCGCTCCTATTTCATCGGCAACTCTGTGGCTTGTGGCTCTTTTCCCCCCTTTTTAACTGTGTCACACTGCTCAGGACAGAAAGCCCCCAAAGGCTGTCCCTCTGCCGGAGTCCTGGCTCCAGGAGCCTCAAGCCACCCGGCGAGCGGCTTCACCAGGTCCGGCCCCAGCCTGCGACGCCCATCTGAGACAAAAGCATATCTCCTTCTGAGGTTCTGCCAGAGATTGTTCTAAATGATGCCTAGATCCAAGCAGATAATTGCCACGGCGCAGAAGTGATCCCCGATCTCAGGGAACTTATGAACAGCAACGGGGAGAGTGTCAGCGACTCACAGAGCCAGTTTTCCCCTCTCGCACATTTTAGGCCTCCAGGATGGCTACGGAAAGCTTGGCCGGCTCTAAGCCTGTAGGAAAGACAGTAAAAACGGTGTCTATTTTCCTGGCCTGAGAATTTCTGCAGCATTATTTAGGAAAAAGCAAACTGTTTTTCATAGACAGAACTTTGCATTTGCTGCCGGGGTGATATTGTAGGATTTTAAATTTTACTACATAGGTCTTCTCCTGTTTCTAAAAGCCTCAAACTCTCAACCTTGAATTTTCCTAGTCTGAAGTCTGCGTCTTCAGCGATTAAAGATATAAAGGTCTGTATTTACTGCACATCCTCCCGGCTGAGAATACGTTGGCAGAACAAGCCCTCAACTGCTAGCTCTTACCTTCACAATGAACTCTGAAACTCAAAAAAAGTATAACCAGTTTGGGAGGTCTGCAGGGACATGCGGCCGTGCTGTGCATGGAGCCTCGTTTCTGTTTAGCACTGGCTAGAAGGCTGCCTACGTTTTTCCTACTTCTTTTTTTCCAGTCAGTGATGTTGGGCAACCACCATCTTTACTCTGTTCCTCCCCCAACCAAAGAGACGGCTGTGAATCGATAAAACATTGGATAGATGCAAAAAAACTAAATGCAGAAAATTGTAGCCGATAGAATCAATATGCTCTGTAGAACACCCTTTGGTTATCAAATCGACATGAGTTCCTTAGTCCTAAGACTTCCTTTTAAAAATGCCGGAGAAGCTAAACTCCCATTGTTGGACCCACACAAAAACCCACACTATATGGATTTATGATCCACAGCAAATCGGTGAATGAGAGGTTAATGAGGTCTGGGGATCATTCTCTTTAAGCAGTGATTCTTAACCTCGTTTTTCCAATCTTTGTATCAAAAGATGGATAACGCTGTGTGTTTAAATGTATAAAATAAAACACACTGAGTTACAAAGAGAATCAATTGCACTGAAATATTTTTTTGATTATACTATAGCAATATATGTGTTCGTTGATGCCAGCAGTGACCTAATGGCTACTGTAATTTCAAGGCAGTGATGATTATAAATAATATTTTGAGACATTGTAACACATCACGGGACATGAAAATATCTGTGATCTCTGTAGGCAACAGTCACAAATCCTGCTAGTTCACTGTGGTTTGATGCCTTTCATAACTGAAGGGAATGCTAAACTTTAGGGGTCAATCAAGAGGTCCTTTTTTTTTTTTCCATCCAAGTTCATGGACTTGGAGGCTAAGGTGAGGACCTCTTGTTTGTCGCTGTCTCTGTTGTAAGAGAAAGTTCAAGTCCATCACTCACCCAAGGGCAGAGGTTGCCTGAGGATCAGAAAGGCCCCGAGCTCGGAAAAGGGCTGCCCTTGGCCTCTGCTCTTCCCAGAGTCCTCACACGTGTCTGCTCTCCGAAGGCTTCCTGTCTAGGCGCTGGAGGAATGACAAAGTGACAAGGACTCCAGGCTCAAGCTCAGCACGGCTGGTAACTCACTGTGCCTCCAGGGGCAAAGCCTTGTCCCTCCTGGGCCCCCGGTTTCTGGATGAACAGGTGACACTAGCAGATCTCGGTTCCCCGCGCCTCTGCGTCCCTGGAGGGAGGAAAGTGACATGAAACAGCCGCAACCGAGTGCAGAGCGGCAGGCCGCCAGTCAGCCATCATGCCACCAACTTTGAGCCTGTTTCTTCTAAACGTGACCTCGGTTCTCCTCGCTTTCTTCTTATTTCTACTCTATTAACAACACTAATGGGCCAGGAGTCATCCGGTTTGTCTGATTCTCAGATGTTTTAAATGAAGATTTTTGCATTGGGCTCAACACAGGTGACCGTGCACTGAGCTTCGTCACCATGGCTTTTGTGCCACACAGTCCTCAGCTGGGCCAGGACTGGCACCGTCGTGGGCTGGGTGTGGTGACCCAGCGCACTCGCTGGGGGACTCCGGAGCCACGTGTTCACGCACTCAGGTGGCTACGTCTTACCCAGTTCAGGAGCTCAGGGTTCAGCGACCGCCCGAACCATGACTCCTACTCTGCCCGACCTGTGCCCGTGGGCCAGCGCGCCCTTTCCATGGACAAGTAGGAACTCGTCTTTCCCTCAGCGGCCGCTCACAGCCACCCACAGAAAAGTGAAAATCAGTTCGTTTCCAGATCCATCCACCCAGAAATGTCATTCAATAATTACTCATTCAGTTACTATTAAGTCATTCCTTCAATAACTATTAAGTGCCTTTCAAGTGCCAGGCACTGTTTAGGGGCTTAGGGGTTTGCTGAAGATGGCAGTATATAGGCTGAGTTGGAAAGGGTTGGTGAGGTTTATCAGGGTTTATCGATTATAGAACAGGCTCTTCTAGAGGGATATGAAGCAGCGCCAAGTCCTTTGAGTTTTAAGCTTTAGCTAGTGATACTCTGGCGAGGAATTTTGTTGTGTTAATTTTTTAGGTTTAAGGCTAAACATAGTGGGGTATCTAATCCCAGTTTGGGCCTTAGCTGTTGTGTGTTCAGGTTGTTTAAAGCTACCTTCGTGACGGGTCTTGCAATAGCTAGGACTTTTTACAGTTTAGCTAAGATTTGGCTTTATTGTTTGTATGATCTTAAACACGCTTTATGCCATATGTCTACTAATTAGGTTAATCATATGACTGCAGTGGCTGGCACGAAATTTACCAACCCTTAAAAGTATAACGTAGTCAAACTTTCATTCATTGCTTAATTTTTATCACTGCTGTTTCATGACGGGTAATTTATACCCTACCCTCCTTCTAACAGAATATGATGCAGCTTACAACAAAAGCACATAGAAGGCAAATTAAAATAAAGTCAGAGAAATGCCAGCAGCCAGAGTGAAAAGTCACTGTGCTTGAGTGTTAGTTGACCTGCCTAGTAACGAAAGCAAAACAGAATGAAACAAAACGCCAAAGCGGTATACGTAGTTCTGATAAACTGAAAGAAAACAAGAACAACATTCTCAAGGTGAGAAATGTGTAGACTGAGAATGCAATGTTCTCTGTGTGCAAACATCTGACAACTGCACTGCCTTCTAAAATGGTTTACATATATGAGGATACATTATAGTCTTCTAATTGACTCTCCCTTTATTTCCCCCTTCATCACAGCAATAACACTGTTATTCTTATTGTTATTAGTGTAGATGGTTTATATTATATATGGAATCTACTTCCAGTGAAAGGTGACCTATAAACTTTTCCTATAAAGAGAGGACCTTGGGTCTATGAACCGCTAAATTAGAGGACCCAGTAATTTCTGAGGTCATATACAAATTAAACTATGTGTCTCCCTTGTTAACTTTTCAACATGCCCCCGGGTCTGCAGGAGAACGGGACAGGCAAACAGCGGAGTGGTTGCTGCTGTTTCAGGTTGTGTGAGTTTTGGCTTCAGGCTGACTGCAAGCGTGGTTGCCAATGGAATTCCCATTCTGATTTCCAGGTTATGATTAAGGGCTCAGAGTTCCTCTTCCAATAGAAATTTCAGCTGCTTTTTTCAATCCTACTGAACAGAATCTGGGGCTCTTCCTGCGCCTGATCCCGGTTAGACCGACCTGTGAATTCTTACACGTTTGGTACCAACTGCCAACTCAGAGATTTTCCTCCATGATCCATCTTCCAAATCCCTCAAAACTGAGTCCCCAAACCTGTTCTTACCTCAGAGCCTATGGACCCAAGACAAGGTGCCCCTGATCCATGTCAATAATTTGGTTTTGTAAAGTTGTATGGTGGTGGTGGTTGTTTAGTGGGCTTCTTAGTTAATGGAGGTGTCTGGGGTTACTGACGGGGTCTGTTAGGAAGTGGTTTTGGCCCGTCGTAAACGCCAGGAAAGTGAGAGAGAACTCCATCCCCCTCCAGGCATTAGTGAGACAAGGCCACCTTCACAGACTCCATGTCCGGTCACCTATCCTACCTGGAAATTAGAAACCACGCTGGATTTTTATAGTCTTCAAAACATGGATAAAACAAATATCCTTCTCTCTTGGATGCTTTCAGTTTCTGCGATGTTTTGGAGCTGAAAGTGGCAATAGTGCAAGAATTCTACAAAACTTATTAAAATGAGCAGGCACGGCCCCTGCGCTGTGCCCGCGGCCTATTCAGGGTGATGGCAAAGTGCGAGGATAGCGTTCGAAGCATCACACAGCGGTGACAGGGACAGCTGGTGGGGTCCGGAGCCGGCTGTGCCCACTGGCTGGCACTCAGATGGCCATGGGCAACCAGGGGGAGCAAAAGTGACCTGACAGACAGGGAGACCCAAGGACACCGGACTCAGGACAGGACAAGAAGACCTTCGTGGCAAAGGCCACTCCCACTGAGCCGGAGAGGAGCAGACTTGGTCTGAGGATCGGGTAGGAAGCGGGGACGTCTCTAAGGTGAGGGATGGTATGCTGAACAATATGGAGGCAGGAACATGGCACCCCTCCTTCAGAGCAGGGGCCAGGTTCTCCGGAGCCCAGAAACAAACGCCGTTGTGTGACCGTGGCATCGCTGGCCCTCCCTGATCTGTCTCTTGCGACTTCTCCATCCTCAGTTCCCACAAAGCGCCCAACATTCCCGTGGTGAACACATTCTAGACTATTTTGAGAACACATCACACACTTTTCCTTTCCCTTGCCTGGTTCCTGTTCTTCCTCCC